CTGTCTAAACTTCAAAAAATATCAATGAACTGTCATCTTTACAGTCAAAAATCTTTGTTGATGTAGAGAATATATTTATCAATATTACAGCTGTCTGTATTGCTTCATCTTAAAGCTTTTTAGTAAGTCTACTATCAAATAGTAGACTTCTTATCTTATTCACCACTAACTGATTCACATGTTCTGCAGAATCATTTGATTGAGATATATCTGAAGTTGTCACTTCATATACTATTTTCTTATTCTTATAAAATATTTTGAGATTATCACTTTTAAACTCTCTATCATTATTTTAGTATAGAGTTCCTACAGACTATTGAGATATTGCTTCAATCATGTCAATGAAGCTTATGAGTATTGATGTAATCTCTGCTTTTATGATAATTAGAATAATTTATTTAAAGCAAGTGATGTCATTAGTAATCTTTATTCAGTATCTTGCATCTTTTTCAATGAGTAGATTTTCTTCATCATATAGTATTTTTTCTCCTTCTACAAAGTTCATAAAAAATCTCATTGCTGATTTAACAGCTCTACTCATTAGAGTAAAAGACAAATAAGTTATTTTTACTTGCACACATATCTTGTAGAATGACAAAGTCTTTTAACCTTTTATTCACATCTCTAGTCTAAAATCTGCAGTCATTTTTAATATATTCACTGAGTTTAAATGATTCAGCTTTTGATGCTACTGTATTATTATGTATTTCAAAGTCTTGATGTTCTCTTTGAGCAACTTTATTAGAGAATCATCATTTGATTGCAAGACACATATAGGTTCAAAATTATTATTTAATATTATAAAATGAATCAAATCTATTAATGTTAATAATTTTCCCATCACATAAATATTCTTTTCATTTAAATGTGCTGTAAAGCCTGTCATCTTGTCAGAAGACATTATCAAAATTGAATGATTATTGCCATATACTAATTGTTTGAAAGTATAATCTTTGCATATAAGTTTTTTAAGACTCATTAAGTTGACTTTTAGCTTCAGAATATAATAGATATTATTCAGTTCAATATTTGATTTCTCAGTTAAGATGCACATTCTCTCTACACCTGTTACTGATGTTGTAGATTCATTTACCATCTTCAACATGACATTCATTTTCTAGAGTGTAACCTCAACAATATTCTTCAGAGATATAGTATAAGCTTTTAATTTAAAGTTTAAAACTCAGGTATTCTTCACCACTTTATCACTGAAGTAAATCATCTCTTTTACAGAGAATACTTACTTCACAATATTATAAACTAAAGCAGTACTATTTTTATTTTTATTTTTATATTTATTCTTTTCTTTATAATCTATAGAGTGTTTTTTCAGATATTGTTCAATAGTTAGTCTTGAGATACCCTGTCTTCTGACAGTGATAGTATATCTTTTTCATGTTATTGCTATTCTACTTGAACTTCTTATCTTTGTTTTTATCTTTAATCCTTAAATTCTTATTCTTACCTTTATTCTTTTTTCATAAATTTTGAGTATTATTTGTAGAATTTCTTGTATTTATCAAAGCAGTGTTCTGTTCAAAGGCTGGTAGATGCAATAGAATATCTCAACATAGTCTTATGAAATCTGTCTCAATATCATAAATGTTAGCATCTTTTTTAATATGATTTATTCTATTTCTAATGAATAATGCTCATTCAGCACTAATAATAGTTAACAAGTAGTCAAAAAGAATAAAATCTTTAATCTTATATCTCAAATGAGTATATTCAGTCTAAATAATGATTAAACATTCTATAAAAGCTCTATATAAATCTTTTACCTTAACTGTCAAGCTAATCAGTTTCTCAAAAAAACAGATGCAGTGAACTGCAGACCTCTCTAAGAAGTTCTCTTCTATAATTGTTTATAGAATATACACTAACAACTGATAATTTGAAGATATCATAAAATGAGATCTTACTTATGAAGAGATTGAAGACAACATATAGTTATAGAGTCATATATTTCTTTCAGTCTAAAAATATTATATATTCATACTGACATCATCCTTCAGGGTAGATTGCTTCTCATTGAGAATATCATTGATTTCAGATTGCTTAGCAATCAGTATTATCTCTTCTCTTCACATTGAATAATTTACAGAATTAGTCAGAATGATAAATTTCTTGATGTGCTTCACTTAATTTCTAAATTCAATCAAGATCTTTATTATAATAATAGTTCTGTCATTTCTCTATAGATAGTTTGTAAGATCTTCATTTATTTTATTACTACTAGTATTAATAATAAGTGTCTCTTTGCTAGCTCTCATCATTTTAACTTTTCACTGAAGTTTTGCAATCTCTAATCTCATCAGAGTTTTTTCACTAACTTCTGATACCTAACTACTAGGGTCAACTATATTCTCTGACATTTCATCAATCAGATCTTCATATGTATTATTAGACTTATTTGATTTCTTCAAAATCATCTTGTCTATTTCAAATACTTCAAAAGCATTTCTACAGACTGTAATAGATGTAGATAGTAAATTTATAACCTTTGAAGTTCTATTATCTAGAGTTCTATTCTCAGATTCTCAGTTTTATCTTCTTTTTAACATGTATTCTTCTGTCAAATCTGGCATTCCACCTGAACATAGATTGACTATTAATGTCATTCAATTATTGTTCATATTTTTCCTCACATTATTTGTAGCTATTCATTTGTAGCTGTTCATTTACAGCTTCTCCTTATAATATTTACAGTGAAAGACCTCTAATTTGAGAGTCTCATAACCTCTTAGTGGACTGTTATTAACCTTGTTATATTGTGTGACTCTCTAAGCAAGCTAGCTAGCTACTAATAAATATATAGATGTATATAATCTCAAGTAGCTAGGAAATTCTCTAATACAAGTTAGTCACTTTTCATTTTATCTCAAAATAATATTTTCATCATTAAAAATATCAATCACACAAAGAAATAAAATCTTTACTCAGGAAGGAAGGTTTTTTTTAGTCATTCAAGCATTTAAAAATGATCAAATTTCAAGTATATGAGCTGCAGCAAAGCTGTATGATATTTTATATTTCACTCTAGATGATCAGATACATGATTATACAGCATGTATTAACACTCTCTCAAAGAATCAGAAACTTAGTCTTACAGAGAAAGAATTTCTTGTTCAATAAATTTTAATCATGAATAAATGAGATTAGTCTCTCTGAATTACAGCTGTATAAGAAATGATCAATCTTTTTCTTATCAGCTAAGAATTCAATCCCTCACTCACAGTGAGTGAATGCTGAGTACAAAACTTTATCAAGCATCATGATGAGCTGAAATCCAAGTTCTCATGCAAATATAATCATTAGTGAGCCTTATGTGAGAATCTTGAGATTATTCATAAGTAATTTAAACTTGTACAAAATACTATTATGAAGTATGAAATTCTGAAAAATGATATCTACAACTTTGATGTAACTGAGTTTCAGATGAGTGTAATTGAGATTGTTAGAATGATGACTGAATCTAAAAGAGTTGAAAATCTCAAGCTTATATAGTCTGAAGATCAGAAATAAGTAACTGTTATTGCTGAAGTCAATGCAACTGACTGAGTCTTACATACAATAATTATTTTCAAAGAAAAGATACATCAATTCTGTTGATATGAGATAGAAGGACTATCATATGACTGAGTGATTGAAGTTAGTGAGAATGACTGAGTCACTGATCAGCTAAGCTTATACTAACTAAAAGAAATATTCAACAAGAAGATTCTACTTTATATGAAAAGCAGATATTGACTGTTGATTCTAGACTGACATTAAAGTTATATCTCAATTAAATTTGATCAATTTTGCATTGAAAATCAGATCATTGTTCTCTACATGCTGTTATATTTCTCTCATCTTCTTCAGTCATTGAATGTTGACTGCTTCTCATCTTTGAAAACTGCATATAGATAGCAGGTGAAAAATCATATGCAGCTTGAGATCAATCATATTGACAAGAAGAAGTTTTTGAGTCTCTATTCTGTAGCTCAGATGCAGGCTCTGATTGAAAGCAATATTAAGAGCAGCTTTAAGACTGCTGAGCTGATTCTGTACAATCCTGAGCAGGTTCTCTCACAGCTTAATATCATGATGCATATTCTCACCTCATTAAAGATCTCTCACAACTCTCAAACCTCCTGGGCCACAGTCACACCACATAATATACATCAATTGGAGCAGCAGGCTGAGAAAGTTAAAGAATATATCAAGCACTGTATGCAGAGCCCACTTAATCCAATCAATTGTGCCCTAAGTCAGCTGGTCAAGGGGTGTCAAATGATAATGCATAGTGCTGCTATTCTAGTAGCTGAAAACAGGGAGTTAAGGACTGCGCAAATGTCAAACAAAAGAAGAAGTGAGAAAGAGGCCGTATGTATGTAGCTCAAGAGGGTGCTTTGAGGGTTGAAGAAGACTTGAATCATGTATAAAGGATCAATGAATGAGAGCAGGGGGTAGTTAAGACTGCTGAGTTGTGATCACAAAAATGTGCAGCACCACAGTGTAGTGTATGTGAGATTATTGAGCATACTGCCCATACATGCTCTAAGCATATAGGAAATAATTTATAATGTAATTTGCTAGTTTTTCTTTATAGTTGAGACTTTGAAGACATTCTTGTTGTACAGTGGAGAGGAAAGTGGCCGACTCGCTTATGTGGCCGACTTGCTTATCGATTACGTTACTACAAGTACTTAACTTCCTCCAGCCCAAAAACGCCCCCATATTTTTGGCTCGGCCGCCAACCAACACCGGGATCTCCGCAAAACTCATCCAAAACTTCTCCACCTTGAGTTTGGAGGTGGAGACAGCTGATTTCCCACATTCGGGATAAAAATAGAAGAGAAGAATTCTACTCTTTTGTTACGGGTTCACATTTGGTTTGGAATTAGGTTCCGATCCATGACAAGTAGCTAGCTTCCTTGGCTTACTCGAGCTGTAATTTCTTCTATGGCATACATCCATGTCGTCATTCTCTTCTTCAATAACCTTCCGGTATTTTCTCACGGCTGCTTCATTCGATACGGAGGGATTAAAAACCCTTTATTCAGCCTGCCCTTAGGATCATACTTTGTCTTGATCTGACGGAGTCGCTCATAGTTTGGCCCGAAGATCTATGGCGGAGTCCAACGTCAGCCAAGACTCACCCCAGAGGTGTGAAAAGAGAACAAGGCATCCACGGTGCATTCAGTTTCAGAATAGAAAATCCGCTTACCTGGCTCAAATCATGGAACCCATGCAGAAAAGCTGGCCAAAATTCATTGGGCTTGTGAGAAGGGGCAATTTCCGTCGGGCCCCTTTCCAAGAGCTCCAACGCCAATTCCGTGGAACAATCCGTGTCGGAATGGTATCCCAATACCAATTGAAGAGCATGTTGAGGTTTCGTGCGAGGCCAAGCTGTCGCCGCTGGGCCCCCAGCGGAGGTTAAAGTTTTCTGCAGAAATATGTCAATAATATTATGTCCGAAGCATATATGATAAACGAAGTATTATCCGGAAAGAGCTCTCCCACCTTTCCCATGAGCTCCAGGATGACGAAGGTGCCCGCTCGAAAGGCCGGGTTCGCCTCTACGGTCCGCTCATGGAACTGTGCCATCCTCAGGACGAAGTCGGGATCAATAGAGTCGACAAGCGGTGAAGACAACACCGAGTGGTTGTGGTCTCCGAAACGCAATGATGCTAAGAGGGGGGGGGGGGGGGGAATGGCGGTGTCAGTTTTCATGCGATAAACCTGATTTAATTAACTATTACATGTATTCGTCGTACCTGTAAGTTCGTTGACTTCACGAATCTTGAGCTCCTTCGTCATGTCCACTGCACCCTCGATGTCGAAAGCCCATTTGAAACCCAATTCACTCCGTGCATGCTCTTCTCCGTGGGAATCGAATATATGCATCGTGACATCGGGTTTTGTAGCTTCTTTTCTGTCGTCGGGGGATGCAAAGTTCGTAACTGAAACATGTGCCGCGATCTTTGGGTCTGTGTATCTGCTCGCGAAATCGGACACCCCCTGAGATACGGCTTTCACTGCAGTCCTTGGAAAGGCAATAGTTCCCGCATGTATCTTCTGTGAGCAACGGTAGACCTTGAGTTTGAAGGTTGACACAACTGATTTCCCACATTCATGTCAATCACCTCGCGGTGCCTAGGGTTACTGGGGTAGTTAAATGGCATCATGGCGTACCTCCGAAATTCCCTCCTCCACCACGAAGGGCCCAGAGGAGATCTGGCTCCGTCGCCGCCCATAGCATTCTACCATCTGGAAGCACCACATGGGCATCCAGGAGAGTTTGCGGATCTGAGCAGAGACCAAACTCGCCCGAAAACCAAGAAAATCCGCCAACGAGAAGGGAACCCGCAACCCCGACGAACGGGACCCGAGTGCTCAGGACTGCCAAACGAAAAGAAACGGAAAAAAAAAAAAAAAGAAAAGAAAAAGTTAATAAATTAATAAGCCAGCGATAATAAGATCATCAGAAGGTATTTTGCCATGGACTAACCTGTAAATCCAGGGGCTGCCTCCTCAAGCTTCCTGTCCACTTCACCCCAGGTCTGACCAGCCCCGATCGTGATGGTCTCAGACTCAGTGTGGTATTCGAAGGAGTCAAAAGCTTTCATGCTCAGTTCGACATCCTGTGCGCCGGCTGTATTGTTCCCTCCAGACCGGACAGCGAAGTCCAAGTCCGATCCGCAGAGATACTGGACCGTTTTCTGGAGCGCAGGCAGCGACTTTGGCCGTAGGACTAGATGCGGCTTGGGGTTTTTGTACGTCGACCAGAAGATTGTCTCCGCAGCATACTTCTCGGAGGAGGATTCGATGATCTCGTCGTCAGACAGGAAGCGTTGTACAGCTGCTTTATGCTCAGGGAGTAAGAAGGTCATGGTGCTCTGTTGGTAGCAAAGACAGCTTTTTTTCTGGGGGTGGGGGTTCCAGAGAGCTAGACGTTGTTGTATGGCCAAAAAAAAAAAAAAAGAAAAAGAAAAAGAAAAAAGAAAAAGAAAAAGAAAACAATAGTAGCTAGTCACTGTTGCCTCAATATCTAATTAAATATCGAGAGGCCGCCCTGTCGATATCGGGGAAAGGCTGCCTCGCTCAGTCTTTTAGTGTACGGCACGCACCGGGGCAGCTGCTCATGCATCGCTAAATAGGCAACTCTGGTGTCCGTCGCACCCCCGGCAACTGGGGCTATATTTCAGCTTCACCGCCTTTTCTCTTTTCGCCTACAGTTAGTTCCCTGTGTTTGCCCCAGGATTATGTGACTACCCGCAGGGAAGGGCGAATTTCTGTCCACCCTTGGTTCAGGGTTCTGTTGACTATTTTAATTCGGTGGATCCCTGATTTCAAAAGAGCTTCATATGAATAGATGGCATTTCATAGTTGATGAGACTTATATAAATCAAAAGGGCACTTTTTCAAGTAGTCGCTGGAGGTAACCCTGGTCCTGTGCAATGCATCCTTTCGGTCAAATTGAGGTTGAGCAATGTTATGCCGGTGGAAGTGAACTGTGCATACATACAAAAGATACAACGTGCCAAATCAACTAGCAACCAGAATATAACTTTTCTGCGACCCATATATATATATATACATACATACATACATACATACATACATACATACATACATACATACATACATACATACATACATACATACATACATACATACATACATACATACATACATACATACATACATACATACATACATACATACATACATACATACATACATACATACATACATACATACATACATACATACATACATATGTACATAGAGCAAAAAAAAAAAAAAAGCTGCCTACCAAGGGCCGAAGCTTCACTCAGCTCCGGGAGGGTCTCTGCCTCATTCGGATTGCGGAGCGGTGATGGCACCCGACGCCAACGGATAAACAGGACAAGTCTGCGCTTTCCAAGCTGCAGAATTCGGGCTCCTCAATGAGCCCAGCTCCCTCACGACGCGGAGCTGCAGGACCGTGTGCGAGACACAGCAGGAGCGTGATGGATATGAAAGACCTGCTTTGGTTCGACAGGATTTCTGCGGACACACAACGGTGTTGTAGATGACATCGCGCGCGGAGGTCCGGTTGATCATGATCGGGTGGTAGGTGTCCAGGATCCTGGGATCTGACACCTCCATATGCGGGCAAATACGAATATCCAAGTCTCTCAGCGCTTCATTCACGGTTTCCTTCGTGGGTATATCGTCGCATCGCGTCGGGAAGAGACAGAGCACATCCAGCTGCTTCAGTTTCGTCGGCCAGAACCGCGTTGTGAACCAGAAATGGCCTGGGACTTCGTACTGAGGACCATGCTCACACGGGATCATACGCCATTTGGGCGAATCCGGCATGCTCTCCTGAGGCAGTTTGCGAATCAGGTTGAAATTCTCTTTCGCCTCGTTGAAGCTGAGCGTCCTGGCGGAGCAGATCTGCAACACCGGCAGCGAGGCCACGCAGTAGCGGTTTTCCGGGCTTTCTCGCAACTGATTCTTGGCGAAACAGGATTTCTTGTGGACGCACTTGCAGCCGGCACACACGAGTTTGGAGAGCGCCCCGTCTCGTTCCAGCATGCAGAGAAATTCAAACCTCTCGCTCTGGAGGGCTAGCTCAGCATCACGCAGCTCAGGAAAGTTCCGGAACCGTCGACATGTTTGGGACAAGGCTTTCCGACTGAGCGGAGGAAGGCGGTAAAGGATGTCGAGTACCAGCTCAGCCGGCATGCATGCCAAGGAAGGGCGGGTTTCCGGGCCTTCGGGGAGTGGCTCGGGATGTTCCCCGCGTAGGTGCTTGAGCGCACGGGAGAAGAGAGATTTAACACTATGCATTGTAGACAAGACAAGCAAACATATCAAACCGGGGTGGCGGGGGTTCTGGGGATTCAGCGGGGTAAGTTGTTAGGAAACACGATGGTGCATCCAATGGGGGGGCGTTTTGCAGGCCTCTTGGTTGGGGTTGGGGGGGAGGTGGGGGGGGAAGAAGGGTATTACAAACCGGTTGAACATCTTGCAGATGGCATTCGAGAACCCATATGATGTAATAATTCCCATTGATTGGTAAACTTTGAGAAAGAAGAAAAGAGCTCCGGTATGAACTCTATGTCCTGAGTTAAACCAGAGAGATACCCGATATCGCGGTATGAGCCAGGGAACCACCGCCCAAAACAGGCAGTGGATATCCAATCGCTGATATCCTCAAAAATATCGCATACACAACGAGGACTAGGAAATGCAATGTGTGGGTGGATCGCCTGTAAGTGCGATATCGGCCAGTTGGATGCTGCCCTTTCCCACATGCTCTGTTCGTAGAAAACATCAGAGAATGGGGAAATGCGAAGATTTAGCGCAGCTCAACTCAACCTCCTCAGCCAGCCTCACGAACGGGGAAGTTGGGAGCGCGCCGTATCGAATGCTCGCTCGATCGATGTGTAAAAGATGCCCAGGGTAAAGAGCTGCAGAATGGAACAGGTATATGTAACGATAGCTAGCTATGGTTGCAACAACGGTTGGAGACAACCCGGCAGAAGCGAAAGATTTCTTGAATAATTAGTGACTATTATCGAAGATTCAATCTATTAAATCAGATGCAGTTAAACTATATGGGGGCATTTTCCGTCTCACCAAGCTTCTGGCCAGAGATCCCACCTGCACGTCTTGCACGTCTTGCACGTCTTGCACGTCTTGCACGTCTTGCACGTCTTGCACGTCTTGCACGTCTTGTACGTCTTGCACATCTTGCACGTCCTGCACGTCTTGCACGTCTTGCACATCTTGCACGTCCTGCACGTCTTGCACGTCTTGCACATCTTGCACGTCCTGCACGTCCTGCAGGTCTCCGCGCAGCTCTGCGCCGGCTTAGTCACGCCTCTCTCCCCCCCTGGTGGATCCCGGCAATAACCTGCAGACGCCTCTTGTGTGGCTGGAGAAAAGCCCCTAGCCGCAAACAGCCTAGCGCACTGTCTTAGTCATCTCCCGGGCCGGGCTGCAACCGCCCGACTAACCAAGTACGGTCAAGCGTCTCAGCCCGGCTCAGCCCGCGGTGGCGAACCCCCCCGCGGCGGCTTACATAAGCCGGACCCCGCCGGCGCAGCCGAGAACAATCAATGTGTGGCACAAGCCACCACCCACTTCGCCCCGTCGCCATCATCGGCAGCAATCGTCGACTTCGACATCGATCTCCCCAAGGCCTCCCAGCTACGACGCCCTGCTTGGACCGTGGACGCTGCAAGACGAGAGGAGAAAAGCACCCGACCAATCCTCCCGGAGCCCTAGACACGCAGACGCCCATTCTCCCATTCTTCCATTCTTCCACTGTGCCGCAGCTTCTTTAAGACTCCGTCCGATTCTCGACCCGACTCGATAATCTACATCTCCTAGGCTAATCTTCTACATCCTTGACGCTCACGCTCCGGCGCTGCCGCAAGGATCCCCCGCTCCCGTCTTAGTGGGGAGCTATCTCGCAAAAATGAGTCTCAAGGGGCTTCAGAAGAGCGTCGTGCGCGCTCCACAGACTATCAAGGCGAAGTTTAACGTCGGCGAGCACACCAAGGATGCTGTCTACATAGATGCAGACCGGAGGTTTGTGGAGTTGGAAAAGGAAACGAAGAAGTTGCATGATGAATCAAAGAAGTACTTCGACGCCATCAATGGTATCCCAATTGTCATATAAAGAAATCCATTTCCCCCCCCCACCCAACCCGGTTTTTTTTTTATAGTTCTTTTAGGCTCCCCTTCATGGGTTGCGTAATACTAATTCGTTTTCCGCTCCAGGCATGCTTAGCCACCAGATCCAATTCTCTGAGGCTATCAAAGAACTGTATAAGCCCATCTCAGGCCGAGTGTCAGATCCCGAAAGCGAAATTCCCGAAGGGAATCAAGAAGGACTAGATGCATGCGATGGATATGCGTCGATCGTTCGCGAGCTGCAAGTAACCCTAGAACCGGAATTGGAATTGATCCATTCCCGGGTGGTTCACCCGGCCGAGGAGCTCCTGGAAATCATCAAGATCATTCGTAAAGTCGCTGTAAAACGACAACATAAACAGTTGGATTATGACCGGCACCGTGCCACGTTAAAGAAGCTGCAGGATAAGAAGGACAAATCACTCAAGGATGAGAAAGCCCTGTACAAGGCCGAGAATGATGTCGAGCAAGCAACGGCAGACTTTAACTTCTACAACGACCTTTTGAAAAGGGAGCTCCCCCAGCTCTTCCATCTGGAAGCAGAGCTGATCAAGCCCCTCTTCCAATCCTTCTACTTCATGCAGCTCAACATCTTCTACACCCTCCACGAACAGATGCAGGGCATGAAGATCCCCTACTTCGATCTGACGTCGGATGTCGAAGAGGCATTCGACCGAAAACGAGGCAACGTCAAGGAAAGGGCGGAGGGGCTGGCAATCGTCCACTTCAAGACCAGAATCGGTCGTCAACCGGGGTCCAGATTGCCACCAGGCGGGAAAGATAAGCTTGCTGCGAACAACAAGGCATACCCAACACGCCGCACTTCAGACACCACTTCCTCGGAAACCCCACCACCCCCATACTCCGCTCACACTGCATCTACGCTTATCGGCGGAGCCGGCTCTCTAGCTGCTGCGGCAAAGGCTAAGCCGCCGCCGCCGCCTCCGCCTAAACCAGCACGTTTCGCTGGATCATCTCCCGTGGAAACCGTGACGGCCTTGTACGACTATGAGGCGCAGGCGTATGGTGACCTCAGCTTCACGGCCGGCGATGTGATAGAGATCATAGAGCGGACGGCTAATGAGAATGAATGGTGGACGGGGAAGATCAATGGGAAGACCGGGCAGTTTCCAGGTAATGACAAAATTTCCCACCCATTCATTCCATTCCCTACACCATACTTTCCTCCCTTTAGAGATCTTTTCCCTTTTCCTCTTGTTTTCCCAAACAACTCTAACGAAACAATAACAAACAGGAAACTATGTTAAATTAAATTAGAAGCATCCTCCTTTTCCGCTCTGACCCTTTTGTCGGAGCTCCCTCCTGTTTCTTTCCACAGCAGCGAAGCGGGAAGCGGGAAGCAGGAAGCGGCCAATTCCCTGGATGACAAACACCAACAGAAGAGAAAAACGAAAACGCATCATCCGCCATCGATGCCTTCACTATTTCATATCAAGCCAGAGCTTACATACCTGCAACACATACATCCTGCATCCCGCGCGCGTTTCATACGTATAACATTTTCGAAGATGGGTTTTAAAACACCATCCATCCATCCATCGCTCCACATTATCCATAGAAGGGCCCCCAAAATCTCCCTGCTCTATTTTTTTTTTTTTTTACTCATGCTTTGATTCCGGTGTAGTTTTCCCGTATCTTATCTCGCTCTTTTCTTCCTCGCCAGTGCTCATAGCAGTTATGCATTTTCTTCCATCCGGACCACTTGTGATGCATCATTTTCGTTTAGATGTTTTGGTCTCTGAGAATATGTTGTTCCTGGAGGGAAACCCTTTTTTTTTTTTTTTTTTTTTTTTTTTTTTTGCCCGGCGTGCTTGCTCGAGTTTTTGGTCATTGGGATGGGTTTGTTTTCTTGTCACACATTTCGCGCCTTATCTTTTGTCAGTTTACATATGCAACTGTACATAATATAGTATCGTTGACATAGTCATATTGTATATTAATAAGTCTTTCCAGTGAACCTGGAAGGAGATACGGTTCCTACGTTTTAACTCATTGAATGAAGAGGAGCCTAGCTTTCTTTCCAATCGATGAGTAGCTGCTCTGGTTGATGGTTGATCTTTTTGATACAACTTTCTATATTCACGGAGATAGATGCGTTGGTTGATGGTTAGATGTTTGATTTTGATTTGCCAAACTTGGCCACCAAATCAATGTTTCATCTCAATGCCCACTGCAGAAGTGCACCTAACTCAGTTGAAAATAAGAGAGGGGCGGGGGGGCCGGGGGCGGGGATTTAAAAATAAAAATAAAAATAAAAATAAAAAATAACTCCCCCAGAAATAGCCCCGTCTACATCTATCGTTCGAACGTTTTTTTTAATTTTCTTTTCCATACCACATTATCCTCCTCCTCCCACTTTTCATGCTAGCTAGGGGTTGATCATGTCAAAGAGGTCGAAAGTCAATTTCATTTTAAATCACATTCCGCATTTGCACATTTACTCAGCCTTCTGCAACTCCTCAGGGAGAGCCTTGACCTTATCCCTAAACAGCTTCTCAGCACGCTGCCAGACCGGGTTTGAGTCACGGTGTTTGATCTCCTTCATGTATGGGAGGAGATCAGCGGAGAAGGCATTGGAAGACTCTGCTGGGAGGAGGCTGGGGAGATGGTCGATTGCTGATAGATGGAGTTTTCGAATGTCAGTCAGGCAGAGGGGGATAGGGGAGGATTAAGAGTGTGGGACATACAGATTACGCTTAGGGGAGGATTGGAAAGTGGAAGAGCGACGGTTGGTTTGCCGAAAGTCTTTAGTGAGTGTTGGACTCTGTTATAGTATTGCTTTTATGGGCTTAAGTGCTGGGTAAAATAAGAGGTCTTACAGTATTGATGTTGTAGATTGGCTGAAGCGCAAACGTTAGCTCTGCGGGTTTCAACGTAAAGGATGTAATGTGGATGATAACTTACTATAGGGTTATTGGGGTTTGTCGTGTCACAACTCTATCGGGAAAGGTATAGTCAGCAGCATGCTATGTCGTAGGTCAATAAGTAGTTTATCGAAACTTACGACGTCGCAAATAACGGAAAGCCTTCTGTCAGGGCTCTTCAGACTCTCCATGTCTACAAATGGTGCGATCTTCTCGCTCAAGTAGATGCAGTTTACGAATCTAACAGGGATCATCAGCAATTTAGAGAATTAAAGACCTAGATATCCGCCATTGCGGTGCAGGACTTACATATCAGACTCCACAATCTCCTGGAACGGGCCACCCTTGGCTGTCTCCGCCATATCCCAACGCAGGATGTCCTCACATCCCGCTTTGACACATGCATCAACGGCGCCTCTATTTACTCTGTGTCAGCAATCTAAACCATGAAAACGATAACCAGCTGGATAGGGCTTTAAACGAACTTTCCACATCGTCCCAAAGCGCCAATAATGAGGACCCTCGGTCTGCGGGTCGCAATCTTCTCCCCCCGCGCAACATCATTCCGGATTTGGCCAATCATTTCCGCTTCATTAAGGTAGTATCCTCTTCCATCGGTAAACTGCTCTACGCCAGGGAGTGGAGTGCCGTCAGGGTGCTCAAGCTGCCAAGCCCAGGTTTTCAGGGCAAGAGCTGCACCAGCAAAGCCGGCATGGTATCCTGAAATAAATGAATTTTAGTCCCAGATCCACAAAGAAGAAACATATTCCCCAAGTACAAAAGCAAGAGTAATCACCAAAAGCAGCAATCCGTCTCCCATTATCATCCTATAAATCAAATCCTATCGATTAGCCCTCCACTCCCAGCAAAAGAATGCGCCCCCCCCCCCACGCCCCACACGCCCCCCTCCACCCCGGGCACCCCAAATTGCCCAATGATTATCAAGCTCACCTGCAAAAACTCCAAATCGTACAGCACCCCATTCCCACGACTCCATCTTCCTAACGATTTCTCCCACCCTCCTTGATTCTTGTAGCAATGCGCAAAGGTGACATGGGCGTGTCTGAGCGGGAAATCCTTCGTCTCGTCCAGCTCCTTCAGTCCCAGGATAATACTGTCAAGTGGTGCATCAACCCAGGAACCTTCGGGTACGAGCGTGGCGCCGGCCTCTTCGAACTCTGCATCGGGGAAGATCCGCTTGCGCAGGGCGGAGGTTGGGGAGCGCTCGACTCTGACGATGTAGCCGGCGTCAACGAGGGCGCGGGTGGTAGCGGGGGTTAGGGCGGATCTTTGTGAGAGAAGGGTTAGTGATATATGTATACGTATATGAACATGTATGGGGTTGGTGGTGGTTTCTTTTTAAGTTTAATTGATCGTTGATTCAATTGTGTCATGGGGCCCGATTGCGATTTGGAATAAATCTTAAAGACGGCCGTACCTGTGCTCCAAGATCTTGTCCTCCGCACGGAGGTGAAGGGTGACGGGAGACATTGTGAGAGCTGTGTCGTGGTGACCTAGGTCTATAGCTAATACAGTTTTCCGCCCGAAGTGTTCTTTCTTGCAATGGTCTAGGGGCTTGGGTCCACCTCTCCACGTGACCCCACCTTGCCGTTACGTCTCGCAGTACATTCATTGCATATATCATTTTTATCAACCACTTAATTTTTACACCAGCAAAAGTAAGAAACTCATTTTTATCACTTAGTTAAGCTCACTTCTGTGTTTCCACTTCAAAATGAGAACTCTTAAAAAGGATATGAGGAATACTCAAAAGAAGTAGAAAAAAGAGTAAAGAGAAAATGAAACTGATATTTATGACAGCATTAATGTAAAGCTTATTTCAAAGACAATAACTGAAGTGCCCCCTGCACTCTTCATCCCTCGAACTGTAAGTAATTGAAAATTTATTTGACAACTGCTTAAAAGATAACTGATAAGTGTGAACGAGGCGGCGCCGGGACGGGGAGTCCACAGCGACGTCACGTAGGGATGGTTGTATGGGAAGCCGAACGGTGGGCTGAAGAAGCAGACGAGCCTATGCCTACGAATAGAAGAGGTAACTAAGAATCGAGGGTACAAGTGATTATATAAAGAATTGTATGCGTATTCCGGTAACTCAGATATATTGAGAATGAATCACTGACCCTCTGCACAGTGTGGGCCAGAGAGCCAAAGCAGCTGATAAGCAGTTAAAAGTATCATTACACTAATATGCACATTGCACAGAAGAAAATGAAGAACAATTCTGTATGAAGACTACGCAAAAGCGAAAGATAAGCAATTAACAAGAGTTTGTTAATTAACAGCTCCTGATCCACTGCTTCTAGACTGCTGTAAAGATTTTGATATTTATATATATATATATATATATATATTAACAAGTTTAATCATGAAGAGAATGATGTTGACGTGAGTTTGATTGCTACGAAAAATAAAATTAATTATTAGTGCTTGTTAACTGCTTGTTAAGTACTTTGCAATTAATCAAAAAAGAGTCAATAATTTTCTGTTTAAACAATAAAGCAAGTTTTACCACGTCCTGAGTCATTTGATTATGAAGAAAAACTAACATGGAAATGGTAGACTCTAAGAGGACCGATATCAACCTTGTTGTATTGTGGGACTGACTCTAAGCGAGCTAGCTACAACTAATAAATATACATAGGTGCACGTGACCTCGGGTAGCTGGGGAATCCTCCAACAAATGGTTTTACCACCCGACCTCTCTTTATGTATAACTGCATTAACTATACGGAGTACACCAGATCAACATCCCCAGGGGTTGGCCAAGCCTTTGAGCGAGGTTCGATCGATCTGGTTATGCTGTTTGTTGCAGTTGAGTCATGTGATGTCAGGGATATGGAGTAAATCCATCCATTTTCAACAGACGCTGCAGAGAGTTGTTGAATCCGCTAATCAAAAAGCAGAATAAAAGGGTTGTTATAGTGTACACGGTTCTGGTCCGAAAATGCAAGAACTCCCTAGTTCAATCCTGGTTATCCCGATGAAGGGACATGTCTGGCAATTGACTGTCAAGCACTCGGATGTGAAGAATGCAAAGACTGGGTAAGTTGATATCAAATATCTTTTTGGTATTGGATGTACCTATGTAGCTATTAACATGTCTACAGCAGCCCACCAGGGTTGGTGGCCATTCAGTCATTTGTATAACTAGTTGTTACATGTATTATTAAAACAGGGGTGGAAAGAAAAGACGTAATGAAGACGGCCGCCAATAAAATTTTGACAAGTTCGAAAACTAAAAAAGGACAAATCTAGGGAATGAATAATACAACTCCACGACAATGAAGGCAGCCTCTGGTAGAAGGCCAGGTAAAAGAAAAACTGCAGAAGAAAAGTAAAAGGAGCGAATTTGCGGAAGAGGCGCGGGCCGACTCGTACATCAACGCAGCCAGTAACTCCGGTTAATATGTAAATACATCGCGGGCTCTATCCTGAACAAGGGCACTTGAGTTGGACTGGGTGGTGAAGACGACGGCGATAACCCCGTATCAGGCTCAATCGGCCTACTAGTTTTTGGCTGTCCTCTGTTAAGCCTGATATCTTCCCTGTCAATTACAACGGGACGGCTTGACTCCTCAGCGACAGGTTTCATAGGAAGTCGCCTCAGATTGCTGAGCTGTATAGTGGGGTCGAAACTGATCAAGATTACTGGCCTTCCGCCGTCTGGCGTTGACGGGTCTGTTGAATAAACAACAGACCGTTCATCGGAGGCGGCTGCCACATCTCTGCATCTCTTTGGGGGGCAAAGCAGGGAAAGAAGTTCCGGCGGGGCATTTAGAGGAGGCCAAAGCTTGGTCCCACGGGATTCAAAGCGTTCATCACTCAGTGGTATGGGTGTGTTATCGTCATCAAGCTCCGGTGGGTATAAATAACCGTTCTCGCTGACTGGGCATTTTCGTTTCCGGGAAACTATTCGAAGACGTAATTGATCTGGTGCTGCTAGTGTCGGTGCGTTTGTTGAGGTGCCATCATTAACCAAATCGATAAAAGCCGATGCAGAATGGTTATACGTTCGGTATTTGGTCTTGGAGAGGATAAAATCCCTTCTTGCGGGTGAAGAGATCTCCCTGTCTTCATACTCTGGATGATAATGGAGGCGAATGCGCTTTTTGGGAGGTTCATAGTTAGGTTTGCTGCGATCATCCAGAGTTGAAGTTAAAGGATCATCAGGGAGGAAAGGGACTGGCAGATATCCAGGGAACCCGGGGCTGGGTGACCCATAAGTTTCGTGTGAATCGCTGCCAGCGCGCAAATCATTCTCCTGACCAGTGCCATATTTACTCTCCGATGAGTCTGTTATGAAGCACGAAAGGGGCTGCATGTAGTAAGTGCGCAAATTCGTACTACCACCACGATACCATTCTCTTCGACATTCTATTATCATGAGTTGATCCGTTGCCACGTCCGTTCGAAGAGAAATGTTCGTCCAAGTGTCATTGATCGGGCCTTCGCGGTGCTGCCGACGCCAGAGTCGTCGCCATTCGACCTTGTGAGGCTTTGTTGTCGGAAATCGGATACAAATATAGTAGGAAGTCCAATCAATCTCTTCGTCCTCAAACCCAGTTTCCGTCGAAATGGCGTAGAAGTGGTCGTCATGAATTTCAAAACATATCGAAGTCCCGATTTCAGACCCAACAAAATTTTCGAGTTGGACAGGTCGCCCCGTTAGGGGCCGCATATTCACTAGATCCCATCCATGAATTACCCATTCGTGGTGACCATGCCCCGCAAAATAGGAATGGGTTCCATAAAATAGAACTGATCCATTATGACGGACGAATATTCTTCTCGTAGACTCGAGCCGTTTAAGGAGGAGGATTCTACCCTGTTTTCGCGTACATGTTGGCTTAACATCAATGGCAATCAGCCATGATATGCGTTCCTCGATTTCACACAGACACGCAACGATGCCGTGGCTATAATACAAAAGCGAGAATTGCACCTCTTGGCTAAAATCTGTCGACACATTGGAGCTGGCACGACGGAGCACAGCCCCAATATTAACGACTTGTTCTTCCCGAGAAGCGCCATGCACGTCTAGCGTGCGAATCTCGTTCTTATCCAAATAACATAATACTCCTTGGTTGAATAGAAAAGTCTCACTATACGCAACCAGGCATGCTGAGTAAGGTTGCGCATTAGCTACTGCTTCGCGTACGTCATACACGCGCCGAAGTGCCTTGATATAAGTGATTTGTCCCTCTGAGGCCAACCTGCCCTCTGGTGTATGGGCAATATGCAACTTGAAACGTGTCAGTCCATGCTTCGTCTGGGGAATAAACGAGGATGACCTTTAGTAGTTACCTGTGCTGCATTCCTAGCTGTCAACTCGCTTTTCAGCAGAGAATAGAGATTTCGGTTGACAAAGCTCAGATTGATATAATCTTGAGGTTCCAGCCGAGAGGCAATTTGATGCCAAATATCAAAGGGTATAGAATTAAGGGTAGTCGGCATGACATCGACAAACAAGGGATAGGGGCACAAGGGATAGCGACGAATTTGATAATAAAGAATAGCAATATAACGTCACTACCCAGCACAATGGCACACTTGGGCCTAGCGGAGAACCTGTTCCCGTTCAAATGAGCATAATTAGTTGATACTTGAACCCCGATCAACTCAAGCGTACGCCAATACCAGGGAAGCCGCTAGTCATGGGAGCTGTATGAAAAGGCAGGAAAGACAAGAACAAACACCAAGTCATACCGGATCCTCGGAGAGAACAAGCGCAGCTGTGGGTTTATATCCTACTGGCGATGAGGCTGAAATTCAGGATTAAAAAGCAATAAACGTGACTGGACCACACAAGGCTGAGGAATAGTTAAAAGGCCCTGTCGCAGGAGTAGTATGAAGAGACGGAATGTCCTCGGAAGATTTTATTAGTCAATTACTACTGACATGGTCAAGGTGGTCAATCTCGAATATTCAACGCGTCCTTTTTACGCCAGGATGAGGCTCTGTGAGATATTATGAGTAAGACAGGGGAGAATCAAGAGCCGCAAATGGGACTCCGAACATCGAGGACGACGGGCAGCATCTCACCAACCATCATATCGTGATCGGCCATGGAAACCTGCTGGACCCAACAATCGTTTAAAGTTCAGGGACACTCTGGAGCTGGGTATATCCTTTCCCAGCTGTTGTTGGACGGGCTCAACATCACGATTGTGGCGAAGCGCAAACCAAGACAATAATAGGTGTGATCAAAAGAAGTTCCACAACCCCGATCGACGGAAATTGCTGCAACTTGTTCCTGGGGACCATCTGGAACGCCGCTTGCTTAGGTATTCATGCGTTTTAAGCCGCTTCAGACTGCCAGAATGATTGGAAACTGGGATATGCACCTCCATCCTTGCATGGGTCAAGATCCCAAGAAAGCAGGACGGTTACGATGACGAGACATGAATAATATGACTGCCTGCCTGATAAACTAGTTAACTAGTATTCTGATTGCTCTGATTCTTAGATCCCATCTTGCTCCCTGACAACTTTAGTCCAATCCCGCGTAGATGTGGGCCTAAAGAACCATCTAAATTCGATCTCACGACTCACAGCCAATGATCGATCTTGAAGAAGATGAAAGCGTCTGCCCATCGTATTTTCAGCCAAGTTGAAATCATCCATAGCGACGTATTCGTAATTCCGCGCTAAATTACCGCCATTTGCTTTCCAGCCAATGATCTGCAGGAATACAGAGACCGCCGGGCCTTTATTTGCGGCTTGGTCTGCTTTTTTTTTTTTTTTTTTTTTTTTTTTTTTTTTTTTTTTTTTTTTTACTTCTGCTGATTACCGTGTCTCATCAATCTGAAGTTCAGGGCGTTGGTTGCGGCTCTGCTTGCGGCTCTGCGGTGGATATCCCGCAAATTGTCATCGACCATCTTCGGCTTTTCCTTCTCTCCCAACCCCCAATTTTCTTCTTTTTTAATCTCATCATCCTTTTAACCTGCTAAGCCTAACTAGCTTCCTTGGACCCTGGCTACCTAAACGGCAGTCGTGGTATATCACGTTTTAGCACAACTCTCCGCTCTTTCTTGTCCTCCACGTTCGCGGGTAACTATCTATCATGTAGGGAGCACAGCTGTGGTATGGTACTATAGCCGAATCGAATCCGAATCAGCATGATGCTCAAAGGTGGAAACGTTACTACAAGTGGCCGATGTCGCTTTCTAGACTGCTTTTCTGTCAGCCACAAATTTCCAGGTTATCTTTTGTCTGTCTGCATTGTTCCGCATTGTCTACAGTCTCCGGGTTAATTCATTCCATTGTTAAGATGGTGTTTGTTATGCGCTAGGATCATATCACTGTGTTCATACTGGCGTTGCCCCTGAAAGTCAGAATGAAGCACAAGGCTTCTCTGCTGTACCATTGATAATAGTAACTTCCTTTTTTTCCATGTCAGAGAGTCTCATTTGACCCCTCAACCCCGCATTTGTGTAATCGGGTAGCTCGAAGCTTCTGCTTCGCAATGCCTCGTCATCTCCCAAGCCAGCCTCTACAAGCAGAACTGGCCAATATGAGGAGACTTCAGATAGGTTGGCATGTGACGTGCGGGGAAGCGCCACTCCATTGCAACATCGAGCCTGTCACTGACGTTAGATCTTCCAGATATTCGCGGAACTTCTCGCGCCAAGGCAACATTTCAAGAACCATGTTAATATGATCGCGCTCAAGATTCGAGCCACAACCTTGGAGGAGATCAATAATTATTGGGCAGTTCCGGAAGCTTGTGCAAAGGTCGCGAAACATACACCGTCCAACCAGCATGTGTACCCACAGTACACTACAACCCCTTCACACGCCAAAAGTCAAGAGATTCGGCTTAAGGCAGACCTCACCCATTCCCCGAAAATCTTGTCAGGCTTTTCTCTTTGCTCTCCCTCATTGATCAATCTGTGCCCATTATCCGGACCTGCATGATCCGGAAACCAGTCTTTCTACGGGAACTTATTTAACCAAAATTCCAGTGGTTCTCTTATGTGCTGTACAAGCAGACAAGTTGCCCCTGCAGTCCTAAATATCGATTTACCGATCTTGCGAATGCACATAGACACTTTGACCGATTCAATTCGAGCTCTATGATTTTACAAAGCTGTTGATCTTTCCTCTTTATATCTCGCTTATACTAGCGTCACCCACACCTCTGTATAAATTAGATCAAGTTGCTACGTATTCTCTTAGGATAGTATTAGATATAGATATATACCGATATTACGTTTGATAAAAAGCTCTGTCAGTGTCCACATCATCAGCCTTGCACCTCAGGCCGACTATCATTGGCTAATTAGCCAACAAGGTTATCCAAGGTTGTATGACTTGACTCTACGATAAAGTTCACTCCAATCCTCAACACCTGCACCCCCCCCATCCACCATATGAGGCTCATGCACGCTCCAAGGTCCAACATCGAAAGTTTTTCAGTCAGCGCACCTGATACTTCAACTTACTCAACGTTAACTTACTAACTATACTTGTTTTGGCCTTATCGAGATATCGAACATTCCTAAAAGTTCCCGGATTAAGATTAGCATCGGAATCAAGTATGCGCAATCGCTTTGCTGGAAATTCTAAGTTTCCCACCACACCCACCATCAGATTGAACGTTTGCATTTGGCGGGTTTAGACACCTTCTTTTAGCGCCTCCTTGTAACCCCCGCAACCTGGTCAAAACGTCTGTGCATGCATATAAAACTGCTCAAATAGCTCTCTCTCTCACACACACACAAAACAAACAAACAAAAAAAAAAAAAAAAAAAAAAAAACACAAGGCTTGGTGTGGGATCACCCCAAAATATAACCTAGATTTGGTCCGTATAGGCTATCGGAATCAACGGCAACACCGATGTTTCTTGCACTAACGTATCAGGCTCCTCTCCTAAGGAGCGAAAAGGAGAGCTACAAAGTCTCAACTTGAGAGCCAAATATTTTGGAGGTTAAGTTCCTTCCTCCCTGGAGTTTCTCTTTTTGTCTTGCGAAACTGGTGAGCGAAAGCCTACGGCTTAATATCTATATGCACTCGTCACCTGTAAGTGGACCACAAGCCTGATAGATGATGGCACACGCCTCTAGTTATCCTATTTTGAGGTACCTACCTATGTCTGGGCAGCTATTTAGAAAATAAATTTGGCATGGCTTTCAAAAATGCAAGTACAGCCTTTCCTACCCCTCCTTTTTCTTCTTTCCTTAGCCTCCTAGGTTCGCAAGAATCGTATCCTTTGAATGGGGTACACAGAGCTGCCCAATGGACCACTAAGCCTTACAGCTTGGGTATATGTAAGGAGGTATCCATCCGCTTCCTTGGACCCAGCCTGTAGTTCGAAAATTGTCTATACCATCAGGGCAAAGACCTAGGCGAAGGAGGAAGTATCAAGAGAAAGTCAGTTGAGTCATTCTCATGTGAGTTTTTAGCCTGACAAGCATGCACCTTGATGCTGCTCTAGGCAGCTTTGAACTCTGCCGTGTTTAAACCCGAATGGACCTGTGTAAAAAGAGGTATTTCGGGCGGAGACTGCAAGATCAAGCGTCCGTAACCCAAGCCATGCCTCTCACAACCTCCCATCAAGTGGCACGCGGGATGTCCTAATTGTCTTCTTCGCGCATGGATATGAATTCGTGGATGACACGAGCCTGAACCATCCCAGAAAGCCATGGATGTTAACTATTCTCCCTGTCCATCCGTTAACTATCAGTCGCACCCATCTCTATCGACTCAGAACACTTCTTACACACAGTTCAGCGCTGACTTTTTAAATTTTAGCCGCGAAATATTGCAGGAACCCTGAGTGCTTACACTTTCAAACAAGGAAAATTCCACACCCGATCTATCTCTGAGCATTATGGCATTTCACCTTACAGCTAATCCATGAGAATCTGTCAATGATAGGTGCAATGGTATTTTTTCTAACTTCTTTCGCACCTGAAGACTTTCTCGTGGATGGCGATTTAGGGGTCTCCCATTTCTTCTCTCTCTTCAAAACACCAAACCCTAAATATACCTTCTCCCGCCCCAAAAAATCTATATGAATATGGATTACCTGCTTTTACTGTTAGAATCAGAATACCCTTCACGGTAGGAATATTCGTACGGTTTATCTTCACTTCTTTACTTTGGGTTAACGATCATGGTATGACAAACAAGCTATTCCAAGGTACCTGAGTTGAGATAGAGACTTGGAGATGAACATAATTACGTTGATTAGATATGCTTAATATGCTTCATATGCTTCAAAGATCGACTAAAGTTGGATTGTGACCTGAACATCAAACTCGTTCTCGAAAACATTCCAACTCCTTTCAGGAGCGCGGTGTCTCCTGACGAGCGATCTTATAAGTCAAACCGCGAATCCTAACGGTGTTATCTTGGATCTCTCCGTCAGCCCTCAGCTTGCCGATAACGTCTCTAATTCGAGGTCCATACGATTGTGATCTGTCCGTCCTACTCGGGCCTTCGAGGACATGGCGCATCCGATAGCAAAGCGTCAAACTCGAGAAATCGCTCATGATTTGATTCATTTTCCTTTTTATCTCCATCACCGTATAATTCTACAAAACTGTCAACGGTTTCTCCAATGCTGTACCCCTTGAACGTGAGCAGATACAGAGCCGCATCAGATAGGGTGTCGTCCGTTCTCGGATCTACATCACCAGCACAGTTTTTTTTTTTTTTTTTTTTTTTTTTTTTTTTTTTTTTTTTTTTTTTTTTTTTTTTTTTTTTTTTTTTGGGGACCCGGTCCAGCTGCTGTCTGGCCTCTCGGACAACGATGGCAGGAAAACATCTCGTTACCCATGCAACTCGAGATCGTTTTCCCTGGACCGCTTTCCAAACACATGAGCCATATGTCGTCTCCTGAAGTCCTATATACTTGATGCTTGTCCATTTTCACGAAGGGAAGGTCGAACTCGGTATTAATCTTAAATTCTTTTAGCGGAAAAAAAACCCCCCGGCAGCCTGTATTGAGGAAAGTATAGGTGCTCTCTCTATACGTATTTTCTAGAGGAATATCTTGTTATTCGAAAGAATTCCGATCAGATTATGCTTAAGGACATGGAATGAGGTGATGAAGGTTGACTGGCGATCGATGAAAGATCCAGGACTTTCAAGGGCATAGTGAAGAGATATTTATATCCATATTCCTCCTTCCCACTCCAATAAGCCTCATATTGCTGCTATCGTGGTATCTCTCCGGGGATACAACCTCCACAAAATCAAATGATCGGGAGAGGTAGCAGTCTTATCATTCAAAAATGGATTGACCGTCCACAAGGTCCGCGATGTTTTGTTCCCGGACACAGAAGATTTCTATAGTCTAGGCTTGGGAGGGAACGCAAAAAAGATCTTTGAAGTTAGGATTTCATAGGGTTGTTTGGCCTGTCTCTTGACAGCATCTCCCGGCCATGGACTCATATGTCTCTATCGTCAAAAGAGATACGTTTACATTCGGGGAGGCCGTCACCCGTCCATTGCTAAAGCTGAAGCCAAAATAAAGAAGGCTAGCATCATGGACGGAAACAGACAAATAGGGATAGTTCCTCGACATCAGCCTCACCTGCAGAACCTTTTTCGTTCAATGCCAATGATAACCAGGACCATGGTTAAGCGTAGTACAACAAACCAACCATCCGCAATATACTTCCAATTTCCCTTCCGCCTTAAATGGTAGTCGATAATGGGACTTTTCGTAAAGGGAGAAATTTCTATAAATACAGGTGATAATATAGAATGCTTTTGCGGCAGGGAGCGGGAAGAGCAACAAATGCTGGTTGGTTTTAAAATATTGGAAACGCCTGGGGCGAAGTCTAGAAACCGTGTCAGGTATTGTTTGCTTCCCATTGTCTTCACCACAACTACCGCAACTCTTCGAGGATAATCAGTGACCGGCTGGGTACATGCCTTAAAACAGATAGCGTGAAATACATGAATATTAACTGTCTTGATATTATCCAGTAGTATGCGGGAAAGCGAGTTCGAAAATATCGATCCCATACAGAGAGGATGGAAACTCCATCTGCTGTTTGATGTCACAAGTGCATATTTTTATTTTTATTTTTTATTTTTATTTTTATTTTTTTATTTTTTTTTTCGCCTTTGTCCCGGAAGATCTTCGCCATTCACAGTTGGAAATTCTAATAAGAATCTCTTAAACATGCAGATTACGTGTTAAGAGGTCTGAGTGTTTGAAAGTCATAAAGAACTGGAAGTCGAGGGCCCGTAACCATGAGGAAAGGAATGAAGAAAATGGACCTTGAATCAAAAAGATGAAGAAACCTTTGTTGGCGGACATGGGTTATGTGACATCCCTTTGCATATGCTTCAGCAGAAGTTGATATATCCTCCGGACATTATCTGATGATATAAGCGTTGAGAGGATAGAGGCTCATCAATGACCCTTTGAACATTAAACATCCTGTCAACCAATCTACTGTACTGATGGATCTCAGTCTCCCCATCTTCCATCTAAATATTTATATCACAACCTACCACAGATCGAGCAACATAAACTAGTAGACCGAAGCGTCCGAACCCCATGTCAGTCTCTCCATTCATCATGTCAGATTCACCATCATCCTTTTGCACCCGGCAGACGGGGTCTGAACCTACATACAGATGAGATGCACTGGAGAGATTCTACAAAGTGCACAAATGAGACGCGATTGAATGGGGCCAGATTTTAGAAATACCGAGTCTGAAGAATCTGGTAAGTATACCACAGTGCCCATTATCATTGCTTCCTGGCAACTTGGTGGGGGGGGGGGGGGTTGGGGAACCCATTTGCTGAATATTTTTTCTCTTACTTTACACACCTGAAGCAGAACACTCCTCGTTTCATCTCCCAACCCCGGAGGGGCACTGGACTTCCTTAATTCCGTGGAACTTCGCTGATATCCCGTCCGTTTAACCGACATACTCATATACAGTTACTTGGCCAAAAGTCTCCCTTTTTTTTCCCCCAAGCATCCAATGAAGCACAACTTCTGGGTGCGGCAATACATGACGCCATAGAGAAACCCTGGAATGCCAGCAGAGACTGTACGGTATGGTAATGGCCCCGGAAATACACTTTATCCGCACACCCCTCGGCGTTTATCCCTGTGCACAACCCCGCGCCCGCCGACGGATTGTTTCAATGTTTTTGCTCCCCCCTGTACGCCGGCGTAACGGAGGCAGTTTCCTGCTGGAGGTGCCCACTGGCTCCCTCACCACTGGCTCCCACCGGCTCCGACTTGGGTCCCAACTTGGCTCTTTCTTCCCCGTGGTTTGCCCCCCCCCCCCGGGAGCCAACCCATGGGTTCGGCTGCTGCACTCTGCGCATATTAACCAAGCGACCCATCTTTATAAGCGATCTTCGTCTGCCTTCACTCACCTCACCTGATTTTCCTCTCTCTCTCTCTCTGCGTTAAACCATCCCCTCCCCCGTCTCTCTCTCCCTCTCCCCTCTTGTTTCTCTTCACTCTTTCTCCTCCTCTTCCTCCTCCCCCTTTCCCGCTCCCACTCGTGCTCCCACTCGCACTCCCACTCGCACTCCAATCTGCCCCTCTAGGATCGCCTGTGCTTGCCTCCACCGTCTGTGGCCCCGTCCCTCACGGAGTATGTAGGCAAGATTCTGTGACGCTACGCTACGAGCCACGAGAACTCTCGCCAAGCATTGATCACAGCTCTCCTGGCCATTTTGGATCCCAACCTAGTCCTTGTTGGTATGGTGTCGGATGCTGGTCGTTTTTGGAACACTCCTTGACTTAGAAATCCCGTTGCTAGCTCATCGATATTCTGCTATTATCTGAAGAGTGGGTATTTGTTGTAACTCAAAACCACTTTTCCTCCCCATCACCATCTCCAGCACCAACACCACCAACACCACCAACAACACCAACGCCAACGCCAACGCCAACCAGCTCGATTCCACCCATTCGATTCCACCACCTCTTTCCCTTGCGATGGATTCCCAGCAACAACATTCGACGCCGTACCAAAGCGATGAAAGCGGCGCTGGAGTGCAACCCTCCGTAGGCTATCCCCAAGCTTCCGCCTCCTTCTACCACGTCAACCAGACAGGACATGCACATGTGACCTCCCCGCAACACCCTGCACCTGGACGTATGTCACATAACACTAAGAATAAGAATAATAATAATAATAATAATAATAATAATAATAATAATAGCAGCGGCTGTGGACAGGGAACGGCTGCATTCCTGAGAGACTTCAATCTGGTTGCAGAGGCAGCAAAGAGGGCACAGATGGCGGTGATTGCGCGAGACTTGGAGAGTGTTTCTCTCTGAAAAGTCGAAACACGCAGGTGCGCGCAACGTCTAAATTCTTGGAAGGATAACAATAGAGAGGCAGTTGAAATCTTTTGGAGAGCAAAAGGCTGGGCCAAGGCCTAAGCGGGATCGCAAGGGAGTCTGGCAATATTGGTTTCTGTCTATACAACATTCCGGTCCTTTCTTCTGCTCCGTTGTCCTCGTTCTGTTATATCAGCATATCTTATCATCACCTTCTTTATATCACTCACCACCCCGCGCTTGGATCAGGTGGGCGGCCGGATCAACTATAGTCCGAGCACCCGGGCGGTTGGGGCGGTTGGGGCGGGGGGGGTCTGATCATCTTTCTTATTATTGTTGTCTCCCTGCATCCAACCATGGTCTGGCTTAGTTATTTTCTGTGCCGCAGAACAGATAAAACCTCAATTACCAATACATTTCTTGGGATAAATGGACAGTTAATTTTTTTCATATCTTAGTTTTACTCTGCCACTTTTCTCTCCTGGACACACACACACACACACACACACACACACACACCATTGGTCCTTTAAATAGTCATTTGAATTTCTGGACATGAACTCAAATACAGATACCGATACTGATGCCGATGCCGATGCTGAATTTGGCGACATCTTCCAGGAACCGGAGGGCTTCCTCCCACCCCCCAAAGAGGCAACCTTCGTAGAATACCCCATGCGCTCCGGTCAAACGATCAAACTGCGGCTCGTAGGATCCCATCCACTCTGGGTAGGGATGTCCCCTGGAACCTCGCTTCAACAGATCTTAAGTTAAAACGTTTCCACTGCAACCAATGACGCTTACCCAACTAACCGATTCCCAATTGAGGGCTTCCTCCTCTGGAATGCAGGAAAAACAAGCGCAGATTACCTCGAGAGCAAAGCGCGTGACTGGGTCGAAGGGAAAGATATCCTAGAATTAGGCGCTGGCGCCGGCCTGCCCAGCCTTGTCTGCGCGATCCTTGGTGCCCGCACTGTCGTCGTGACGGATTACCCTGATTGCGAACTTGTCGATAACATGCGCATAAATGCGAAGGCCTGCGAGTCGCTGTTGTCGCTGGGAGAAGGAAAGGCATCCCCGTTGCATGTTGAAGGGTTTAAATGGGGTGCGGATCCGGAGACGGTTTTGCGACATCTCCCTGCAGACTCGGATTCTGGTCCCCGTGCCGCTGGTCGCGGGTTTGATCTATTGATTCTTGCAGATGTGATATACAATCACCCGCAGCATAGGGAGTTGATCGAGAGCGTAAAGCAGATGTTGAAGAGGGCGCGGGATGCGGTGGCTTTTGTCGTGTTCACTCCGTATCAGCCGTGGTTGTTGGAGAAGATTGTTGCTTTCTTCCCCCGCGCAGAGGAGAATGGCTTTGTGGTGACGAAGGCGTTTGAGGAACTGACGGAGAAGGCTATGTTTGAGGATGATCCTGGGGTAAGTTGCGGGATGTTGTTGCCTTTTGCTCTCTGGAGATCGAGGGGGGGGGAAATTATGCTGATGTTTATCATATATGGTAGGATGAGAAACTCCGGCGCACGGTGTTTGGATATGAGTTGAGATGGAAGGAGGAAGAGCTGGTCAATCAATCAACGATACCGCACACTTAAGATTTATGTGGTTTTATAGAGTTACAGACATTTGTTCGTCTACGTAGTCAACAAAGGCAATCCTCTTTCGCAAGGTATCAGAGAATTTATGGGACATCATCAAGCTCGTTTGTTGAGGCCATCCATCCCTTCTGCCTATCATCACTCCCATTAGCTTTATTCCCAAGTCTCGTAGTTAATCAGGTGTCGTTTGATACAAATAATTGAGTTCTGTTATTTAGTTCTGATGTTCTAGTCATAGATTTATAAATTAACACCGGGGAGCGGCACAATATTTAATATATTATGAATAACTAACTGCCAGCAACAAAAAAAAAAAAAAAAAAAAAAAAATTACTCAACCAGAAAGCCACCACTTGATTTAAACCCCAACCTAACGACATTCAAGAACTCATCAAAGACATCACAATGCCAGTAAGTCCACACCCATCTCCCATAGAAATATCACTTTGTATTCTAAAAATCCCATCTAGCTTATAATCCTCACCGGGTATCCTTGCTCCGGCCTCACGTACCGCGCCAACCAAATCTCCACCCTCCTCTCCTCGATCCAAGACTCCCTTACCGACACAACCACCTCCAAAGGCCGATATAAATTTCACACTGTCAACTCACATGATGTGTCGCATCCGCGAAATGTATATGATGCCGCGAGGTCAGAAAAGGAAGCTCGAGCGGTGGTATATGGGCGGGTCAAGAGAGCGCTGGGCATGGATACGTTCGTGATCGTGGACGGGCTGAATTATATTAAGGGATGGAGGTACCAGCTCTGGTGCGAGAGTAAGGCAGCGGGAACGACGTGTTGTGTGGTATGTACACCTTTGGTATCTGGTCGCGTTGATTGTCTACTGCGACAGGCAAGATGGTTTTTGTGTCAGGTATATATGGGATAACCCTTTCTGATCATACCGTTTGATACTTAGGTTCATGTTGGAACACCGATTGACCAGTGCATCGCGAATAACGAAGCTCGCATACGGAAGCGGGAACGAAAGGAAAAGGGTGGGGAGGGAGAGGACGGGAAAAGGAGAGAAGAAACAAGCAACAACACTCAAGCAGAGACGGAGAGCGAAATCCCTCCAGCAAATGATGATGAGGAACCATATACCCCCGAACTCCTCCAAAACCTCATATTCCGCTACGAAGAGCCTTCAACTCATAGCCGCTGGGACAAGCCACTGTTCACCGTACCGTGGAGTGACCCTACCCCCCCCGCAGCAGACATATGGACCGCATTAACAGGAATGCCCATTCCCAAACTACAATCCGCAACCGACAATAACACTACCCTCTTCACATCCAGCGCAACCTCTTCACAGCCGTCCAAAAAGATCTCCTCAACGACAACAACAACAACAGGGACCAGCACCCGTCCATCCCTCCCACGCCCAGAAATAGTCCCCCACCAAGCAACCATCCAACCAGCCACCGCTGACCCCAGCGCCCTCCACGCTCTCGAAAAGCGCACGTCGCAAATAATATCCGCCCTCCGTACCTTCTCTCTGGAAAACCCTTCCGCCGCCGAAGCCACTGCAACCAATGTCTCCACCGACAACGACACCTCGCTTGGCTCCGGAATATCCATCTCCGTCCCAGGAGCTGAAGCGAAGGTGTTTATCCCGGCCACGGCGCTGGCGTCTACGCCAACGGACGAACTGGCTGGTGCGGGGGGCATACTTGCGCTCCCTCGCTTGCAGCGGCTGCGGAGACAGTGGGTTGGGATGAACCGGGCGTATCTGAGCCAGGGGCATGCTAGGGGTCAGAAGGGGTTGGGCGTTGATCAGGCGGGGGATGCTTTTGTGAGGTTTTTGAACGCGGAGTTTGAGGGGGTGGCGGGTTGAGATTGTTTATTTATTTCTACTTTTTTCTTTTTCTTTTTCTTTTCTTTCTTTCTAGATACTAAGGGATATGCGACGAATGATAGAACGAGATTTTAGAACTAGACTGCGATAGATTACACCTACCTACCTATACATTTACATATCTAATGACGCTGTATAAGGGTGGGGACAGATGACACTGGACGGACCAGTTTGATATAGCAATCGATTGTATGTATGTAGCTAAATTCGACGCCGTAGAGGCCCTTACAATGCCATGATAACATTCCTGCGATTCTCATGAATTGGACAAAATATCGAGCATCTGGCCCCTCCGTACCCTCCTCGCACACAACATTTACCGCTAATGGCGGAATACCTCTCCTTTATTTTATCAACCCGCCTTGTCACCCATCTTGAGCGGCCAAAACGAGAGCGATCGACATCACCAAGCAGCAACGGGGCAGTGGCGTAGTTGGCAGTGCGTTGTTTTGACTGAAGTTTCAACTTCATTTACAATATGTATAGCAATAATCACTTAAGAAATACCGAGTTTAATCGGGAGGTCACCGGCTCGATCCTGGTCTACCCCCATACATGAGAAATTCCCAGCAGTTTCGTCCCTCTTTCCCCCCCCCCCCCCCCCCCCCCCCCACGTTTTGCTAGTGTTGGTGCGAGCCAAAAAACAGACAAATGGTTTGAGAAAATTGGGGACCGGGTGGAGCGAGTGTGGGAAATATCCACTCCATGTCTGTCATTCGAGTGGATCTTGTCCGCCAATGGGCACGCATCCGAAAACTTCCCCTATTTTTCTGCCCTGATATACTTTGCCGTCGGGCGCCTTTGCTTCCTTCACGGTGAGCTTGGGTTCCAAATGCCCTTTTCGGTGTCTCCCGGGTATGGATATTTCCCAATACCAGCCCGTCGTGCAGTTAGATAGTCAAAACGTCTGGGAGGGAGCAGCGTTGCTGAACCACTTTTCGAACCCATTCGGCAGAAACACCACGGGGAGCTGACATTTCGGCAAAATGCATTCTCAATGCATCTCATGTCCCATTGTCCTTGTTGATTGCCAGTGAGACCTGCACCCTTTGATTTGGAGGGGTACAAGTGGGGAACTTGGCGTTTTAAACAGAATATAGCTCCCACGTTCTTGAGATCGGAATGGCATTTACCTTCATCCGCGCATAACTAGGACATGGAACGGAGAGCTGTTATTCACAGCAAGAGAATATCACCTACTTGGAATTTGCAGTATTGCAGAAAGACACCAAAACCTGGCAACATCAAGGACGGCCAACAGCCCTAGTCGAGCCAGATGCAGCTATAACCAAGTCTTTAGACTCCTTCGGAAAGCCTGGAGGAAGCCATTATCGGAGGCTATATGTGGGTGAGAAGGTCAACCCGGTGCCACAAACACCTCACGGTGAAGGTCTCGATTTGCAGCATGTTTATTCAGCATGCTGGCTCGGCAAGTATCACGACTGGATTTCCCCCAAGGACAAGCAAGGAAGAGCACATTTTCCGTCCTTCTCAAATAGACGTACTCTAAAACAGAAGAAAAAAAACGCAATCCGCGTCAGTAGTTACCTCGTCGGCTTCTTGTACGAGTTGCCTCCTATTTGCCTCCAGCAAGAACAGGTGAATAGATGCAAAGGGCTGCCAGCTCAACTGCCAGGAGCAGCGTCCTGGAGTCGAAAAGTTCTAAAACCAAGCTCTATCATCACTCCGCAGCACTGGGGATAGATGTAATTGCTTCGTGTGAGGATCGCGAAGACTATTCGTCAGGTTGTATGTACATATGACGGATGCTATAAGGGGTAACACGTTCGAAAAAAGGTAGTACGATAAACAATGCCAGGATTAAAAAAAAAAAAATGATGAACCGGAAAAAAGAGGTCTAAATGAAGAAGAACGAAATTGGGATTTCGAAATATGGGGCAAACCGGGATCGAACCGGTGACCTTCTGATTACTAACTGGAATTGGCTGGGCCGAATCCTGTCGTGGTGAAGTTTGCTACTTCAGTCAAACGCGCTCCCAACTACGCCATTGCCCCAGGCGAGTTGCAGGGAGAACCCCTGCTTCCATCCCAGATATCTGGGGATAGATATTCTGGTAGCTGTATGTAAAAAGTATAACTATCTGTTTACAGAGCTTTCGACGTAGTAAGTCCACGTAGCTGGGCCATTCCACTAATCTAATCCAAGTCTAAATGGCACTGTATTTTAAAATGTGGTCGCCCCTAGTGAACATATAGCCGTAGGAAATGATAATAGCGGGGAATAATGAGCAGGTTTATAACGTTATTCCACATGTGAGCACGGAGCAAGGAGAGTGGAATATGGTGGATATAACATGGTAGAAGAAGAAATTGCCTTTGGCGGAGAGGCAAATACTCGGGCGACATAAGAATCCGTGGATAATAGGATACAAAGGAAATGAGACCAGTCGGAACAGATTAACTGTATGAAGAAGCACCGGTCTAAAAGGGAAAAGAAAACTTCCATTTGTTTTTTGTCTTAGATAGTAACCACAAGAGAGCAACAACGGAGAAATAAAACTTTGTATCTGTCTTGGTTCTTCAGTTCTGTGCAGGAAAGAGGATCGACTGGCCGTCATAAGTCATTCGTCATAATCGTCGTAGACAAGAAAAGGGGGGAAAGGAAGGGGAAAGGGATAAATAACACAGCCAACCCAAAAGAAAGGTAAAACGGAAGAGAAAAGGAAAACATACAAAAGAGGCAACATAGATCCCCATACAGGCCACATAAATAGTAAAATCGTCCATTGAAAGTGGTTGTTCCTTGGCCAGTTCGAATGGCTCGCCCAATGTTCTAAGAGGCCCAGCACGCAAAGAGAATATATCTAATAAATACAACAAAATCCAAACCCATGTGTCCAAAACAGAACCCGATGCCCAAGGGACTGTTGTTTATATATATATCTGTGTGTGTGTGTGTGTGTGTGTGGCAACAAAAATATCAAACAAATATCACCGAAAAAATCGACAAACGAAGAGAACTTCCGAGAGACAAAACATACAGATAAAACAACATGTGAAAAGCAAGAGCCAAAAAAACGAATATGCAGGTATCCACACCAAATTATCACAAAATGAAAAGGCTAGTTCCAATCCATATGCGTTACGGCCCACTTGCGGTTTCATGTCGGGAGGAGCGCATGAGGAGCTAGAAGATCCATGTCGAGAGTAGAGTCGTAGAAGATTGGACTCATCTAAGGAAAAGCCTTGGAGGGTATCTCACGCTAACAGACATGTCTATACTCTTTATCCCGGGAAATAAACTCGCATGTAATGACCAATCCTTCTATATCAAGAGCTGTCATAGGGCGAGAGCAAATCACCAATAAACAACAAGGTAGAATAGCAGTTCCAAAAATCCGGAAACACGGTAAAGAAAACTGAAATGCGTCATACGGAATAGAGAGAAGCTTGTCAGTGTCAACTTTTTATCTTCTCATCGAGAATATCCCGATGATCGCTCAGTCGCAGCTTGGCTAGCGCGAATGCAGCGGTAATTAAGGGCAAGAGTGTGGAGCTCCTGCAAACTGGCATTTGCCTTGTCATGCAGACTCGGGTTCTGAGGGTTGATGTTGTTCAAATCCTCTCGTAGCCGCAGAAGGCAGTTGTAGTAGTTTCGCTCAGCATTTTGAAGTTGCTGTCCCTGTTGAGCCTGTGTTTGCGCTGCCTTTGCGGAAGCCGTTGATTGTGACGGAGTGGATCGAACTTTCTTCATGGTCGTCGTGGCTTTGGCTCCTTTCCTTTTGCGGGCTGCAGAATCCTTCTTCTTGGATGGTTGGCCAACGACTGGGGACTCTTCTGTTGAATTAGCCCTCTCAGATGAAGTATAGTCATGCACTCGCTTCATGTGGTCATGGAGATTCCAGCGGCGGGGGAATCCGTTTCCGGGAACAGAGCGCTCGCAGGTTGCGAAGCGGCAGAGATGGGGATTCTCTCCATGGCCATGCATTCCGTGTGCTTCCCGTTCATGGCGGAAGAGGCAAGCATTTGAGGAGAAATGGGCATCCACACATTGGTTAACTTTACACCGATATGGCTTCAGGTGAGAATCAACGTATTTGCTGAGAGAAATATATTAGTGATGAGTTCTCGAGCAAAGGAATGTGGGGGGAATTTACTGATAAGCGCATTTTTGGGTAGTTGGTGGATGAGTGCAGGGCTTCTCATCATTTTCAAAAGGGCAGTGGTATTTTCCATCAGCTTGTGTTGACATGGAATAAAACGGGTGATCCCTAGGGCCCCTGGCATCCTGGCCGTCATTATATCTTTGATTTTGCTCCATGGAGAGAGAAAACAAATTTTGTTCCGTCTTCCTTGGCCGGGAACCTGCAGCGGATAGCAGCAGTCGTTGGTTTTGCTTTGAAGCCCTAATGGTTCTAAGTAAAGTGGCAAGTTAGTCTCATAAGTTTCTAATATAAATTTTGGTGATTTGACAAGAACGCAATGGTTTGCCTTACCTGTTCGGGTCCTGTTTGCTACGGGGTGTGAAACGGTAGAGAGGGTCTCCAAGATTGAAACTTTTAGGAGAAACGGAACTTGACATATCGACAAACATGCAATCTTCTTCTTGTCCAGGAAATGGAGGATAGCTTGTCTGTGAACATGCTGAGGACACAGAGGTATCATTGCTTCCATCGGTCAAAGGTGGGGTAATAGGGGCGTGACCGAAAAGATCTGACACTTGGCTCGTAGATCCCACAGAAAAAGTATCAGAATCTATTGGCAACTGGTCGTATGGTCGTGCACCAGTAAACATTTCAGTATCTTCCATTTCATGGGATCCAAGTCGCAGCTGCTTCGAGTCTTCCTGGTTACAACCATGGGTATTTGGCTGAGCTACATCATTCTCAAATGGCAAAACAAAGACGGACTGGTACCCTTGCAGACTGTTAAAAGTTAATTGTGGACTGTTTCCGGATTCTGTCGTATTTTGCATATTATGGATATCTGAAAGTGAGGAATAACTGGCAGTGTGGTGGTCCAAGGAGCTGACATGACCTGACATCACAGGATGACGAAAGGAAGAAAATGGAAAACCCTGGGAATTGGAGATGTCTGGTTCTGTTACTGACATTGAGCCAGTTTCAAACGATTCATCTGTGGTATCGCTTGTAGTGCTTGAACTAGAGCTCATATATGTCCATTGGTTGACATCAGGCAGATTGTTGGAAGCACAGAATGAAGAGAAAGAAAATGCATCCTGGGAATGGAAGTCATTATCCTGGGTGATAGCAGAGGTTGACTGGGAGCAACCTTGTCCTGTGGAGTATTTTGGAAGATATTGAGCCTTCATTTTGAGAGAAGATCCTTTTGGCATCGAAACCCTTGGAGGGTTGGTCATTGTTTTTGTTGACATGACAAGCTCTAGGTCTCAAGAACTACAACACACACCAGTCAGTATTTCCGTCATTTCGAATCCACGAAACTCCACGTTAATGAAAGAGAACGCCAAAGAAAAGTTGAAAAACAATAGAAAAGGTCGCAGTCCAAGAGCCAAGATCGAGAGTGGCCTGAGAAGTTGTTAGCGTAAAGTTCACGAGATCGTATTCTTGAATAACCTAAACCCACCAGTCACATATTGGTATGATTTTTTACCAGCTCCAAAAATATCCGACGACATGAAGATCGGATTTGCTGACTGTGGTAAGATCAAGAGCGAGGTATACTTGGTAATCGGGTCCTTTTGTTGTGGCCAGGGTAATCCGGAATGGAAGTTTGTCGTTTTATAAAAAATCCTAAGACAAAAAACAAAACCATTTACGCACAGAAAGAAAGAAAAAGATATATGAAAACACCAGGCATATGTAGCATCATGGAAGTAGTTTTGGACTGGTTCCCAAGTAGATAGCTTCATTTTCATTACAGCGGACATCCTGCATCCATGGCTTAACAGTCCAGGCAAATTTGTTGGGAAAGTAATCTGGTTCATTATGTTGCTCTTGATTCCAGGTGCAAGCACATCCGCGAGCGACGGTGAGCTGCAAGCAGTAGCACCAGGCAAAGAGAAATCCAGGAAGACACCGGGTGGCATAACATTTGAGAACCAGTAGACAAGGAGACGGTGTCAGACATAGCGGTTAGGGAACTGGAAGGTTAACCTCGGGCCAGATGATTCATTATACCAACTAACCAAGCCTCGATGTTCGGCATTGAATAAAAGTTTGCTTCTCTTCTCGAAACACACAAGTGGCTGACAGTCTATGGCATAAATCTTTCGAAATTTACCGGCATGCTGACAGCTGCAGACGCGTTATATTCAAATAAGAGGGTACCTGCCAATGGGAAGGTTCATCATGACTCCACATAAGGAATACAGCATTATGCACCCTTAGGTGTACCAACATACACCCCCCACGATGGCTATCGCCGGGATACATGAAGGTTTCGGGCCTCAAAAGGCCCCAGAATATTTCCAGTAAGATATCCAGAACAAAGGCACTCAAAGAGCAACGGGCAAAAATCTCCAGGATTCTCTAGAACGTCCGCATAGATGTGGCCTCCCATAGAGGAAGAGAGAAAGAAAAAAAGAAGGCAAGAAAAACAATATTTTGGATACAGGACCAGAGAGAGCAAGGAAACTGAGGGGCACATTAAGGAAAAGTAATGGGGACTACCTGATGAGTTCGGAGGGATAGACGCTGGTGTCTCTGAATTGAATAACTGTTCCTCAAGCACGAGTCGATAAGTTGGATCAATTTTAAACAAAAAAGAAATTTTTTTTTTAAAAAAAGTCCTTGTCCTGTATGTGGATTGAATTCCAGGAAATGTATCCAGATGTGTTTTCTCTGAAAACGGCGTCCAAGTAGCAGGAGAAAAAGATATGAAATAATGCACTATCAAGGTTCTGGAATTTGCACCGAGACGATGAACAGTTAACGGCAAGAAGCAGTGACGTTGGAGTGGAAGAGGGTTAAGAAATGGAGCATTAAAAAGAGCAACAAGCCAGTAGAGGAAGGCTGGAAGCGAAGTAGATCAGTTAGGTAGAAGTTGTTTTGGATAGGAAGAGAATTTGTATGCAAGATGAGAGGGCAGGAAAAAAATATTTAGAAGCAGGTCAAAACGGGAACGAAAGGGGATTTGATCTGGCTTTAACACGTCTGCTTGGTGGGTTGAACCAGCTTAACAGTCTAGCCTTGCACTGCAGAACCCTTGCGGGCAGTGTGAGAACTGTGGAATGCGGACGCGGGGCAATGGACAGCCAGCTCAATACCATGCATGATACCTCGCCAAGTTTGCCCGACTTGCTCGAGCGACTGGAAATGACTGGCTGTTGTTTGCTGAACATTTTAGCGGCGGCTGCACCAGCATAGTTCCGGCGCGAGATGATGTCTGCTCTGGGTCTTTGTTCACCTATGGCAGCCCACTAGGACTGACGTGGCATTGGATGCGCCGCACATCTGTTGCAGAATCTCGTGCGATAATAGCAGTGAACATGGCGGGTCATATTGGCAATCAATATAGCGGTGAACAATCTCACAATCCTGGAATCCGATTTGACCTAAGGTGCGTTTCCCTTGAACTCATTCTGCAGGTTTGCATTTACAAATCACACATCGCTGAGCTGTTCTGCTGAGTTGATAGGGTGTACCGGAACCCTCAGGCTGGCGAATCTTATAGCAAAACAAGGGATGTAAGTGCATCTTGGGGTCCAAGCACAAGACAATGAAGGGTGGATGAGCGGGATCCAAATTAAGCTACGGAAGAACGTCCTTACTATTCCAAAAATATAATTAAGGATAGAATTTAAAAAATAGACCGATAAATGAAATTGTATTGTCATGTCCATTTAACCTCAATTCTTACACCTGGAGAAGTGGTTCAAAAACATCTTCCGATTGGAAGCCGATATGACGAACGAAGATGGGTCAGCAAACCTCTTTCGCCTGCTGTGAGGTCATTCAGCACTGGGGTTTCACGCGGGAGGGTTGGGCAGCAGTGCAGTAGCGCATCTTTGCATCAAATCTAGAATGACCAGCCAAAGAGTGCGTGCTGCTTGACCACGAAGTCAGCCATGGAAGGAGATTGGTGATGGAAAAGAAAAAAAAAATCATGCAGAAAATGAATAATTGAGAGTTCAGAAAGGATGAAAGATGGTAAGGTTTGTCGTTCAATATCCGGAGACCTTCAGTTGAACTATGCTTAAAACTTGGGAATCATCATAAAGATAGGTGCTTGTATATCAGGAAAAAGAGGGAATCATCAAGGGTACATGCCTTACAGCCTCAATATGCAGGCATCGTATGTGAGTGACGGATTCGTAGGAAAATCCATCGTTGGGACGGAGGCATCATGATCCTAAACTGCATACTGTGTCGAGGTCCCCATATCATATCCCCCATTCAGCGGAACGGTAGCAAATTCATGATTAGCAACCTCCAACTCTGTCCAATCATCATGATCAACTTTTGCGTTGTCAAATGTTTGTTGGATGTAAAAAATTGAAGAAATTGAAGGCAAGACCGATTTTATTCTTGAAAGAATCCGGTTCTGGAAAATTAAGCGAGTTGACTAAGTTAGTTAGCATTTCCGCATTCTTCGGATTAAATTGACTCCGTGAGGATCGTAAATTATCACTGACTGAACGATGAACCTCAACATGCCGATAAACTGACGGTTAACATGGACCTGGAAAATCGATCATAAACAGGTTTGTTTTTGTATTTGACGGCAAAGAAAGCGGTATTGTGGTTATCGTCTCATGTAACAGTTAGCTGCTGGTCACCCAACTCCGCCCAAAATTATGGGGTCTACGGAGTTCAATAACTCACGAAGTATCCAAAAAGACAGTCCAAGCGCCTATACATCCCACACATAAACGAGAACCATGTTCAATGCTTCTAGATTATTTCAATTTTGACTGACTTCATGCCTCTGTAGCCTAATCCTTGACTGCGTCAAATTTCTGCGATCATGCCTTGCATAAAATTGGGCATTGGATGACTGACTCTTCCCCTCCGGATGTGAACGTAGTAATCTTGAAGAAATTTTTACTTCATGTGATAAGCCTTCTTTGGCTATGCGATTTTTGGTTAAACACGGAGACGACTGAGGTCAACAAAGAGAAACATGACTTCATATCCATCCTTTTGATGGGAGTTGCTGTGGGCGTATCAGCGGAAAATATCGGTATATTGGGAGGTTAGGCTAGTTAACTGATCATCATGAAGTGTGGGGAAACCTACCAAGCAGCTCAGTTGGCGAAATGCAGCCTCGAGACAAAAAATTGATCTCCCTGTGTCGGTGTTTTGGAAGGTTTCTCGCATCAATGTTTTTCGAAGTTTCTTGATATCGCCATAGAAAGGGGATAGTCATAAGACTTTACTAACTGTGTCTCCTTGTTGTCTCTGGGAAGACGCAGGACATACCCTCATGCCAGACTATCAAGCTCGAATTGCGGTGCCTTTTTGAGTTGGTTCGTGACGCCGAAGCTTTTTCTGCAAACCAAAGATATTCTATTAACCACTGCACAATTATTAGGTTAGTATACTTAGAAGAGGCAAAATATGCTTCCTTGGAGCCTGGCAGTCGTTTGAATGGAAGTGTTACATCAAACAGCCCACCAGGAGGAGATTTTAAGTTCCCAGAATAAGGTAGGCAAAGGCTTTAGCCTCTATTAAATGCAACCTTTACACCGTGGACCCTTGGATTTCAGCGTCGCTACCTCTATCAGGAAGCTCGTTCCATTGAATATAAACTGCGGAATTAGTTCATGACGATACCTTCTTGTTTTCCAATCCTCTTCGCTGGTCCAGGCGGACATATTGTTCCCAATACGAAACGGAGAGCGGACCTAGGATCATCACTTCATTGGGAGACTCGGTTTCACGATTCTGAAATACTCTTGCAACCTCAAGGCATCACTTTTTGCCTTAAGATCTTATCCGATAACTATCTAAGCGTTCTGGTTCCTGTAGAATTCGATCGATGGCACGAAAGCTTAGTTGCGATTTAGCCAATCGAAGCTGGCAGGGACCAATTTTAAAGTTAAGCTTAAAATATAGTTCCCGACATTTAGGCTGGATCGAAGGTTACAAGTTGCAAGGTACCTAGGTACCATGTCGAAGTGACTCTTTTTCTCATTAGAAATTTGTATTTCATCCTTTCTTGGGGGACCTGCTCTTGCTCTTCGTTTGGGGCATGGGATCAGCCAATAAATTATTAAAAAATTCTGATTTATGTCTATGACCTCAGAAAGGCCTTGAAATCGGACCTGACAAACCACACTCTTCACGGCTTGAAACCTGTGATTATTTTCCTTATACATCTTCGAATCTCCTATTAACACTCTTTACGTTTCTCAACTTCTTGCTATGGAATTTCCATTTACGAGGCCTTTGCTCTATTGTCTTCCGATTCTGATAATGTTTAGATCTTAATTACTTCCTTTTTATGTTGGCATCTTACGACCTTCTGCGCTATTAATACTCGTACCGTTTGATGTCTTCAGTTTAAGCTTTTAAATGAAAGCTTTACACAGATTAAAACCTTCCCATTCTAGCAAACTTTTGAAACAGATCGCTGGGCAACTGCCGAAAGGTGGATGGATGAGAGAAAAAAAACGTTTGGAAGCAAACTTGTTATCACACCCAGTTTCAAAAAACATTCCCCCCTTGTCTCCTCTCTCTCTTTTCTTCCATCATTTTAACATCCCCATCACCTTGTGATCTCCAAACCATCGCAAGTCTCATATTAGAAAGGTTTTTACACCAAAATTTTGACCAAGCGTCTCAGGGTTTGTTGCAAGAGCCTTGGGCGCCTGTTCCCTCACATGTCTCGTGTTCGTTCAACTGAAACTGTCTTAATTGTTCGTTTTTTATCTTTATATATATATATATTCCCTTTGCGTCTTTTCTATTATTGTTCGTGTGGTGCATTGAACTGTGGTGATGTGGGCGGGCTGTGTTTTTATTTTTTTTATTTTTTATTTTTATTTTTTGGCATTTTTCATTTTTCCATCGTTTCTGACTTGTGTTAACCAGTAATATTTTCCATTTCCAAAACCTCTCATCTACGATGCAAAATGTGGAATTC